TATATATATATCACAAAAGAAACAGCCAAGGAACTGAAGGTTGCCATACAGACCAACACCGAAGAAGAGCATGGAAAGGAACGCAAGCTCGTTGGAGCTGAAGGCCTCCAATCAAATGCATGCAGCAACTTCTCTGAGTGCATGAAACTCTCTATCAACCTGTGTTGATGCAGCGCCTGCCTTCAGGTTTCCGATCACATTGCTAGTGTACTTGCCGTTCTTCACAATGGGACGTCCAGGATAGTCTGGGGCAAATCCCTGCCTGGCCACTTCAGTCAGGTCTATTCCAGCCTGTTGCACCAAATTGCTAGTGCCACCAGGTCACATCTTGTCAGGGTGCCAGTACATTGGGCCCTTCATGTACTCGGAAGTGTACTGCAAGTAGACCTCTCATACATTGCAAGGCGTCTCAATATGCACAAACTCATAACGCCCCTCCAATGATTCTCAGCAAAGCATCATGCTACCCACGAGAAGTGTTATAGTCTATAGTAATATTGATGCATGTGGATTCGATGCTATGTCCTCCGTCCTGCTCAAACAGGCGCTCATCGGCAGGCGTCTCCACGTAGGGCTTGCCCTAATGAAGCTGGGCCCTTCCCTACACTGCAAGAAGTCTGCAAGTCAATCGAAAGTCACAAATCCAAGGCCGCCACTCCACCCTCTGCTCGGGCTGCAGTCGCAGCTCTAGCACGCCAAGCTGCAGCAAGGCCAACATGCGCACCGAAAGCGATGCCTTCGCGGGAAAATTTCATTGAACAAAGAAACTGATGTAAACAGTACTGGCGTAACTTAAGGACATGATTGCTGACTGTACCTGCGGCAGCCAAGCCCCAGCCGGCAGACTGAGTAGCAGATCCACTCGCTCCAGACGCGAGTGGCCTGAACATGCAAAACCCGCAATGACTTGTGATACCTTGGGCTATCTTGGGCTGAGGCGGGGTGGGAGCCAATGGAGCTCGGGCTGGTGCAACAACAAAGGCCGCACCCGCTGCAAAAGCAGCCACGGCCGCGACACCAACCGCCGCCAAGCGAGGCATGGCTTCTGCACCAGTTTCCGAAGAGCCAAAGGAGCTTCGGCAAACAACTCAAACTCAACTACACTTGATTGACTTAAACAACGTCCTCACTCGACTTGGGGAATGAATGTAACTTCCAGTTGCTAGAAACAATAACGGACAACGCTTTGCAAACACATTCGAACCATCTGGGGCTTGCCACGGAACATCATGGAACATATATCATCACCATCTCTACCGTGTGGCGATCTGAGTCTCCAGCTTTGTGGCAAGACTGAGCAGGTTCAGCACAAGCAAGTGTGTTAATTGAGCTTTTCCTGGTGTTTAAGTGGGTTGCCATGCCTCTCAAATTGTTCCAACTATGTTCAAGAAGACCACGTCAGTAGGTGAGCAGGTCAGCGGAAAGCCATTGTTTTCTGCAACCAAAGCATGTGAGCATGCGTGTCTGAGCCAAAGGAAGCTTGGCAGTAGAACCAACCAAAGGGCTTGTGAAATGTCCATCTCCCTCAATTTCATGCAGCGCACACAGACCGACTCATGGCGTACACAGAAGGCCTTGAAGGCCTGGCTGGGCCTTTAGTCTGCAGTGTAGGAGTGGATGTGCCACACATGTCTATGACGATAAATTCAAGAAGACCTAGTCGGACAGAAAGCAACCTCTGAGCAACCAAATCGGACAGCTCATTGGGAAGGCATGGAAAGGTCAAAAGCCAAAGTCCGGACCCTTTTCCGTGATGTCCAGTCAACCATCAGATTGATCAAAATCTATCCGCTCAAATATCCAGCATTGAGGAGCCAAGGTCGTAAACAAGGACCATGGCCACCTGGCTCTCAACAGCCACCCTCTCAGTTGTCTCACTTGGGGAAGCATCATCCATTGTGAGAAACAACCTGCTCTGAATATCTGGGCTCCGCACCACGTTGACATAGAAAATACGGTGATTGATAGAGCTTGTTGCCTCACGGAAGAATTGACTGCGGTGAATGATAGTCACCGTCGCCGTACAACAGTGAAAACTGACATGTACTGGGCTCTGAAGCCATTGAGAACATACAGCCTGTTGCGTCGCAGTGTAGTGCATCAAGGGTGTTTCTGGCGATGCAGCCTTCCTGACAATTTCCAGAAACCAGCTTTGCAAAGCACTCCAGCAAGTTGGAGCTACCATACCGTTAAGTTATAGCTGTGATATCGTCAGTACAGATCTGAGCATCTTGCGTTGTAGCAAAGGTTCGCTGGATCACTTGCTTCTGCACAGCAGGCTTTGCCACCTTCCAGCGCAGAGTATGCATCCGTAGACAAGGAACAAAAGCATGACAGCATGTCATCAGAACCTCAAACGCACCTCGGCAAGAGGCAGCGCAGTGCGCATCAACGCACGTCGGAGGGCAGCCATCACAACAGGCCGGTACCACAACCTCAACAAGGCAATGAGGAAAAGGCTGTCTCTTTCCGGCTTAATCTGACGGGCTAATTCCAGTGGTCTGCGACCCAAGTGGTCTTGCAAAGTGCATTTGGCAAAATCTAAGGACAAAACAATCTGACAAGCTCCCTGTCAAGTTCCCGCTAAGCTTTTTCGAGCCAAGGGGAGAAGGCAAAATTCCAAGCCTAAACTGTTCTAAATATGCACTTTGACCCTATGGTCAATGGTCATCCAAGGTCTATAATCGCTGCGAATATAACCGCTCAGATGAATTCAAGTTTTTGCTGTCCTTTTCTTGCGGCTGAAGTTGCTGTCATCTTTTAGCGGTGAAGCTCTTCCGCACTCTTGGATAGGGCAAGAATCAAGATGATAAGATGGGCTGAAGCACATGAGGTCTCGTCCAGATCAAGGACTCACGTGTCAAGTGCCCGTCTTTGCACTCAAATGTCAAGCATAGAAGACCCCAGGTCGTAAACAAGCACCATCGCCACCTTGGATGGCAAGAATGCACATCTCTGCCAGAACCAACGAAGTGACAAGAAGAACCCTTACGCCAGAACCATCCAACCATTCAGTGGTGGGGACACCGATTCTCGGAAGCAACAGGGTCCCAAAAGGCGATTCAGAACCTGCGTCCACGAAGACGACATCAACGAGCGGATATCTGGGCTCCGCACCACATTGACATAGAAAATACGGTGATTGATGGAGCTTGTTGCCTCACGGAAGAATTGACTGCGGTAATTGATAGTGGCCGTACAACAGTGGCAAGTCAAAGAGACAGCACTGAGAAAACTTACATGTACTGTAGCTCTGAAGCCATTGAGAACATACAGCCTGTTGCGTCGCAGTGTAGTGCATCAAGGGTGTTTCTGGCGATGCAGCCTTCCTGACAATTTCCAGAAACCAGCTTTGCAAAGCACTCCAGCAAGTTGGAGCTGCCATACCGTTAAGTTATAGCTGTGATATTGTCAGTACAGATCTGAGCATCTTGCGTTGTAGCAAAGGTTCGCTGGATCACTTGCTTCTGCACAGCAGGCTTTGCCACCTTCCAGCGCAGAGTATGCATCGTAGACAAGGAACAAAAGCATGACAGCATGTCATCAGAACCTCAAACGCACCTCGGCAAGAGGCAGCGCAGTGCGCATCAACGCACGTCGGAGGGCAGCCATCACAACAGGCCGGTACCACAACCTCAACAAGGCAATGAGGAAAAGGCTGTCTCTTTCCGGCTTAATCTGACGGGCTAATTCCAGTGGTCTGCGACCAACTTGATGCCATTCGTGCAGGAGGTGCAAGGCGTCTTTGGCAAATTCTAAGCACAAAACAATCTGACAAGCTCTCTGCCAGGTTCCCTACAAGCTTCTTTGAGCCAAATATAAAGAATATAGAGCAACTCAGAATCAAAAACAAGGGCACTTCGTAAGAATGCAACTCCCAACCCGCCACCTACACGTCCGAAGGCACTTTCTATCGAGACTTGCGAGTCGGCTTTCTACCGAGTGGACTATGCCACAAGTTTCTCCTTCTCTTCTGCCGTTGTGTCTATCTCGTGTGTGACTTTGAAAACTCCTGCCGCGATCAATCCTCCAACAATCTCCACTGCTGAGTAGGCCAAAGCTGGAAGAAAAACACCACCATTCAAGATGCTGACTCCGGCAAGGCCAATCGACACAGCAGGGTTTAGTGAGCCACCAGAGATGCCTCCAACAGCAAAGCCTCCTACCGTCACGCAGGAGCCAATGAGGAATCCAAACATGTTAGAAGACTTGGTCTGCTTGGAGACGGCAACGGATAGGACAACAAAGCTGAGAAGGAAAGTGAAGATCAACTCAGCCACCACAACTTGGCCCCAAGTGCTGTTTCCAACTGGTCCAAGAGGGAAAGACTGTCCAACGTAAATGAAGGCATAAGTTCCTGCAGCTACGAGACCACCGGTAATCTGTGCTGCAATGTACAAACCTGCTTTGGCTGGCGAGAGCTCAGGGCAGCGGCCAGATTGCAGGATGGCCACAGTGACAGCGGGGTTGAAGTGGGCACCACTAACATCACCCAGTGCATAGATCATGGCAGTCAGGGCAGCAGCTATGGAAAACGCTCCAGCTTTGGATTTGCCCAAGACATTCAAACCGATCGTTAGAACCAGCATGAAGGTGCCCAGGAATTCAGACACCAGCTCAGTCTTGGGAGACTTGTCTTCATGGAAGTCTTCAGGCCGCACCATCTTGAAGGCAAGGACGGCTAGAGCAGCTCCAAAGATCTCAAAGACGATATAAAGAACGCTCCATCCGAATCCCAGGAATACACTGGAGACATCAATTCCAACGGCCACTGCAGGGTTGAAGCATCCACCAGACACAGCCCCTGCACCGTATGCACCGGCAATGATCACCAGTCCAATGGCCAGGCCGAAGAATTGGTTGGACTCGGTGAGGTTCTTTTTGGCGACAGCCACATTGAGAACCACAAAGCAAAGCATGAACCTGGAAGTGTTCAGTTGTTCATATGTCAACCATTCAATGAATCATGCTAGAAAGCTTTGTTCGAATCGCATCGCAAAAATGATTAAATGGGGAACATGACCAAGGGACGTGTACAACATCTCACACAGGCCCGCATTCAGCCACCCAAAGCCCTCTGCTGGCGCCAGGTTAAAGCTCTGGCCGTACAGCAAAGCGTAGGAAACTGCGGCCGCAATGCCAGCTCCGAGCCTGGCAAAGCAAGCTTCGCCCCTCAAAAAGTAATCAGACACTCAAACTGGTCAAATAAGTATGTTGAGTTTTCCAAGCAGGGTGTAGTGGAACTTTCGTGCTTCAAGGAATACACTTACGTGCAGAAGTGCAACATCTTTGTTGCACTTTCTTGTTGCTTAGGTGTGTGTGTGTGTGTTTGTGTGTGTCACCCTTGGAGTCACAGGGATCTTTTCGGATGTGTTGCTTTGAATGCTGATTGATGAATGGGCTAGCGGCCCATGTCTCGACGCTAGCCAACGAAGCTAGAGAAATGGGTGGATAAGTCTGTGGACGCACAGACTTGTACCTCCAATGGTTGAACTTTTGATCAAGCTGTGACCCTACTATTCAGTAAAGGGCTAACGCACTCTGCAGACAAGAGCGATCGCCGTCACTTCGACCGGTTCGTCGCTTCGTGGCGCTGGACCTTTGGCCTTCAACTAAAGGTGCCCCGGCCCCTTTCATGTTTTTTCAGGAATATGGTCACCCAGGTTGCCCTGTGGCGAGTGGCATTCAATTCGAAAGGGGGTTTTTCCATGTTCCCCAGCTTGCGAACGTAGGTAGGTGTCCGAAGCGGACAGCAGGAGACTTATGTTGCCAAATTTTGCCGAGTTATTGAAACTGAATAGGCTACATGCGGAACCTGCCGGAGCCTCATGTGCACGCACAGCACGTACACTTTCAACCAGGTTTTCCTTAGGTCGCTTAAATGAGGTCTGGCTTCGTTGGTTTCCGGCCCCTGCATTTGGTTACCCTTTTCATTCTTTACCCTTCACACACACTTTCTTTCCTTCTTTTGCTTCATGTCTCTCTGTCTTCATGTCTTGGCACGTCATCCTTTCTCTCCAGCCCTTAGTGTGTACGCGCACTCACACTTTAAACCCAGGTCTCAGGTCGCCGTTGTTACAACGAGGTTGGGTTCATCGGTCGTTCCTGGTCACTTGGTTCCGCTTCATTGCAACCACATACATCTGGTCTGTCTTGTCCTCCTTTCATGTCGTCATTCGTTTGTCTTTTTTGCATCGCCAATCGGGAGGCGTGAAAACCCTTGGAGTCACAGGGATCCTTTCGGATGTGTTGTTTTGAATGCTGATTGATGAGCAGGGGGCTAACGGCCCATTTCTCGACGCTAGCCAAGCAAGCTAGAGAAATGGGTGGCTGAGTCTGTGAGACGCACAGACTTGTACCTCCAATGGTTGAACTTTTGATCAAGCTGTGACCCTACTATTCAATAAAGGGCTAATGCACTCTGCAGACAAGAGCGATCGCCGTCACTTCGACCTGTTCGTGGCTTCGTGGAGCTGGACCTCTGGCCTTTAACCAAAGGTGCCCCGGCCCCTTTCATGCTTTTTCAGGAATATGGTCACCTAGGTTGCCGTGTGGCGAGTGAGGAGTGCCCCCTGAACGGGGTTTTTCCATGTTCCCCGGCTTGCGAACGTAGGTGTCCGAAGCGGACAGCAGGAGGCTCATGCCAGAGTTATTTGCCAAGATTTGCCGAATTGTTGAAACTGAGTATCTGGTGACCGCAGCGGTCCAAGCAGGCTTAACGCCACAAAGAAGCCTTCCTTAGGTTCACTGGAACCTGCCGGAGTGTGTGTGTGTGTGTGTGTATATATATATATACCTGAGAAGTGAGGGGACGAAAGCCACTGCTAGGTCGGTATGTGGTCTATCTGAGGAAAAGTGACGATGCAGAAAATGCAATGATACTAGTTTTGCAACACTCGCATCATCAACAAAGTTTTAATGGTATACTTGCCTCACCCGTTTCTCGCTCTCCCCCAGCAGGGGCTGCCGATTGTAATATATGTGTGGTTTCTTTTGGGGGATCGCACCGCCTTCACTGTCTAAAATAGAATGATCTCTTGGGTACTCAAGTAAAAAGGAGTTCCTTCCAAAGAGTTTTGGTCAAGGCACTGGACGGATGTGTAAAGGCCAACTTGAATCCAGTCAAGGCCTGAGCCTCCCATGGCTTTGGAGATGCCAAGAGCCAAGGAGACAGCAGGGTTGAGGCAGGCACCAGAGATGGGACCCAATGAGTACACGGCGACCATCAAAAGGCAGGCGATTGAAACTCCACCCCAAGTCGCGTTGCCGGCAAGTACATTGCAACCCACCGTGAAGGTCAAGAGAAATGTACCTGCGAACTCATGAGAGAACTCTCATACACCAAAGTCAGGATCTTCCACCATCAAGATTCTGTTGACTGCATGCATCAGTACCATGTACTATAGATGCTTCTCCTGGGCATCTTTTTTGAAGAGACCTGCTTTCTGCGATTAACTTGATACAATTTTGCAAGGATATTCGGACTCTGGAAGTGCAAAAAAACCTCAAGGGCCACGCCTACGAACTCCGCAACAAGCCTCAGGGACTCGTGTTGCTCAATTTCTGCGAGCAGTGGCTAAACAATGTTGCTACTCTGGCTTCTTTTCTTGGATTCGTTCTAGCAATGATAACCTTTGGAATTGCAAAGGAGTACAAAAGTCTGTACCGTATGTGTTGGTTGCTTCTAGTGCCAACGAAAGAAGCCGCAGCCAAGAAGCTTTGAGCCTATAGTTGGTTCTGTGGCTGGTGCCATGGTGGCTTGCCCCACCAGGCCACTTCACTGAATCGGGAACAGCGAGGCTGCTGGCTGCAGTCAAACAGGCAAACAGTGGCACTTCAAGAAACCAGATGTCAAAGGAAGGCAAAGAACTGATTATAACCAAGAGTCGCACGAGCTTTTTCTCGCATCTCTGCGCTGCTGTGCTTTCTGGTTTGAAAGGCTTTGGCCCTGTGACTGCTCAGGCTGCGCCCAGTAACTTCGTAGTTTCTCCCGCAGCCTTCAGATGCTCACATGACAATGCAAAGGAAGAACGTGCCGGGACACTGTGGAGCTTGGAATGTATCAGGAGCCGAACTTTCAATCGAATCTCGCTTCTGTTGCTAGGTCAACCCATGTACCCAGGTATTTCCCGTTGAAGAAAGGGAACAGCCCTGGTTGTGTGGGCAATTTATTTGCAAACAAACATTGAACTTGGCAGTGGCTTGGTGAGCTCTTCTATGAGGTCAGTGGCTGAGGCGTGGAGAGTAACTGAGGTCGGCTCAGACACCTCGCTGTGAAGGAGATAGTTCAAACCACCGGCAACACTTCCTGAGCTGGATTTGAGCTGCGAAGTCTCCGAGCCAACACACGAAAGTGACTGCGACTAGGCAAAGACTGCACAAGGTACTTGGATATGCACCACCCAAAAGCTGGAAGGTAGTGTAGCGGACAGCAGTCTTCACGCTGCTCCAGCCTGAGCCAAGTTCTACTCAATACATCAACACTGTGTGTCGCATGTTGCACCTCATGCCTTAGTTTTGAGCACTGCATAGCACTGTCGGTTTTGTGATGCTCGGTTCGACAGACACCTTTTAGCTTGGCACCAGCTCCACTGGCGGCCACTCCGACCTGATCCACGGCGAACCCCGCGGCCGGCTTGGCACCGCACCGCGGCTCCGCTGACGGAGACGGCTCTTAGGTCCCGGCCGAGACGGCAGGATTTAGGAAGGCGCCGGAGACATTGCCCACAGAGAAGCCAGCCACCACGACACAGAAGCCTGTGAGGTTCACAGAAGCCAGAAACCCGGAGAAAAGAAGCAGGGAAGAATGAAGACACAAGTCTGGTTGAACTGAACACAAAGGAGTCTGGTTGAATTCAAAACTCAACACTCACTGGAACCATTTGGCACATGGATCAACTCGCCTATGGCCAGGCCGAAGATCTGAGAGCTCTTGGTCTTCGGCGCCACGGCGACACCCAAGACGACGAAGGCCAGAAGCCCGGTGAAGAACCTGGGAAAACACCCCACAGCACGGTGGGCTGGGACTAAGAACATCTGGGAGGGACAATTAAACATTTTGGGAGGTAATTAAACATTTTGTGTGGCCTTCGTCTGGTCACGAGCTCTTGCCATGGGTCAGGCTTCCCCATAAGATCCCAAAGCAGCTCTTGTCTCTTGGACTCTTGGGAGATGCACATCTCGGCCACTGCAGCTGCAGCCAGGCTGAATCCTGGAGCGTACCGGGTACTGGGATTGGAGAGATCGTTACCAGGGGGAGGGGTCCTGGAGCGTTGGACGCTCCAAGTCCCGGGCTCATCTACTGTGGGCGTAATAGAATTGTCTGTTTGGTCCGAACCAGTCTTCCCCACGCACTGCTGTTTGAAGAACTTTCTGAATTGTATCACCTGACTCTTGCTACATCTCCGTCGCACCTTCTCCCGGTGCCACAACGAAGGAGTTGCCGTTGTGGAGCAAACAAAAACACCTGGTCGAATCCACTTGCAGCACCACACGACGTCGTACAAAGGTACTGACAAATCGTGATCAGCTGGGATCCGGTCCAACCAGCGATGATGGCACTGAGCAGCTGTGATCCAATATAGTACCCCTCAAACATCATGTTAGTTGAATCGAAACCGCTCGCGTTGAACACCGGAAGAATTGTGCCTTGGGCTTGGATCTACCGAATCCGCCCTGGGCTCCCAACAGCACGCTTTGGAATCATGTCCGGATCCTGGCTGAGCGTTGGATGGACTGAGACCGTGGAATGCCAGCAATTCAGCAAAGCCACATGCCCGGACACCAAGACTGCAACAGTTACCTTGCTGAGTATGGTCCGGGCGAATTTCAAACAAGGACATCATCATTGCAATCATGGCAAGCTGTGAAAAGTACGAATAGTCTCAAGGGTCACAAGGACAAAGAAATAGAAACAATAAGCTACTAGGAACAAGTGCATCGCTACTAGTAACAAGTGCCTTACTTGTAGTAACAAGAAGCTAGTAGGAGCAAGTGCATCGCTTCTAGCAACAAGTGCCTTACTAGTAGTAACAAGAAGCTATTAGTAACAATAAGCTACTAGGAACAAGTGCATCTCTACTAGTAACAAGTGCCTTACTAGTAGTAACAAGAAGCTATTAGAAACAATAAGCTACTAGGAACAAGTGCATCGCTTCTAGTAACAAGTGCCTTACTAGTAGTAACAAGAAGCTATTAGAAACAAGAATACCAATGGTGCCAAATTGAGCTTGGCCGCTGCCGGGTTGAAATGTGCTCCTGACCTTATGAACACATGTGACATCACATGTGATCAAATTGGGCCATCTAACCAATTAAAACTCATGAGCTTTGCACACATCTCCAAGAGCATAGACCATGGCAACAAGACACCTGCCGTTGCAGAGACTCACTGGCTAGAATCAACGAACTATAAGGCATAAAGTCGGTCAGCAGCACCCAGCGATTGCAACAACAGCCATGGGAGTCTTCGCCAGGACCGCGAGTCCGACGGTCAAGACCTTCATGTGACTTCTTGACCAAGAATTGAAAAAGAAAGGTTTCGCAGACATGGTGACCCAGGAATCACCTTTGATTTACAGGCTTGAGCATCGACTGCAAAGCACTCTTTTCTGAAGGCGCTACCAGGGCGAAGGTGCCAATCATCTCGCTGATAAGCCTGTCAAGCACAAGGACAGCACACCTGCTAGCCGCTAGCCCTCCACTTCTTCTCCGCACAAGGACAGCACTCGACTCACTTTTGCCCCGACAGCACGCCTACTTCGGGGAGTCTCGTTTTCATCAAAGTCCAATGGTCTCACCTTGCACTGTACATGTCATCGCTTTTCACTGTGAGAATGGGCGGCTCATGACACTGGTATAAAACTATTTTGGAACGTTGATTGCCCTTCACATGAGCTCTGTTGAAAGTCAAATCCAACATGCCAAAAGAGTCAGTGCTTCAAATCCAATTTCTATGCAAAGGGACTTTTTCAAACATATGACCAAGCGCGGACTTTCTTCTGAGCTCGAAACCATTTTGAAAAGCAATGCCGAAAATGCAGCGCCGAGCCTACATGTCATCTCTTGGATGAAAGAGCCACAGAGCCACAGAGTATCACCACAAATGTTGCATATCTGATGATTCTGAGTCATGGGCAGCTGAAAGACTGCGTAAATCAAGGACTTCCCAAAGCCCGCACCTTACCGCTTCAGACTGCTTACAAAAGCTTCAATTGACCTGACCTATACTATGAATCAAGCTAGTGCCTGAGGCCCAATCCAGCGCCTGCAAGGTCAGCACCTGGAGTTTTGAAAGTGTAAACTCAGAATAGGAGCTCAAAAAGCCTTGTGATTTGCAAGGTTACGAAGAAGCTAAGTCCAAGCGATCTTGTCGCTAGAATTGTTCGACATACAAAGAATTGGGCTGGCACCAATGGTGATGGCTGGGTTGATGAGGCCACCAGAAACTGGCCCTGCTGCATATGAGGCAGCCAAAGCCATGGCACCAATCGCGAGGCCATAGAATTGGTTCCTGTCCAGCAGCAGTGATCATTTGGAAAGGGTCCAAGGAATCTCTGAAAAGCCCGGCCCCTCGGAGCTGTATGCCCTTGCAGCTGTGGTATTAAGCACCTAGACACAAAGAAGGGTCAGTTGCTTTGCAAACGCTGAGAGGAAATTCAAAGGTTTATCGTTGAAATGTTAAAGCTCGCTGAGACAACCACCACAAAGCAAAAGAACATAGAATAAAGGAACTCGCAAAGGCAAGCTCCCACCCAGCCTGGCAGGGAGCATTCGAGTGAATCCACGGGGAGTGGTTTTAAAGAAAGAACTACCGTGCTAAGGACCACGCTGAAGCCAGCTCCGGGTCCTAGCCTACATGATGTTTTTGCATAATATGTGTGTACAAACCTGCGACGGTGGCAATTCAATACGATCTGGCCTGAACGAATCAGCAAAAACATTCACCTGATCTCAGGAAAACCACCACCAAACACATCACTGGCCTTGACCGGTCAAGAGATTCAGAAAGACTTTCTTAGTCTGCCACAAAGCAAAGACCACTACACAGTCCACCAAGCAATTGTACCTCGGACATCAAAAAGAAACGTGCCGGCGGCGTCTACCGGGTGGTCTCTGGGGTCTCCACTGCAATGTACGTGCCGGAGGTTCCAAAGTCCAGTCCAGGCCTCAAAAGTGCACTCCCAAGTCGCCCGACTCCAGTGCTTCTGCGGCCCAGGGCACCGACCCTCCAAGTTTCTTGCTGGTGCAGAGCCTCAATCGTTTCGAAGAAATCCATACAGTCCTTTTTTTTTGACCAAGTAAGGCAGAAGTAAGCTACTAGACTAAGTTAGCTACTACATACTGGACGCAGAATAGCTCACGCTAATCATTTGGTTCCTAGGTTCTTACGGAAACTTAACTTGTATGCTAAGGTCTCTTACCATCACCCTACAAACCCTGTCCATTGATCAAATGTCTACTTATAGTTTGGAGCCAACAACTAGCTCATGTAGCTGCACCGAAGAAATGTCAGCACTCCAACAATTGATGTGCTGCACGCAACCAAGTAGCGCCAGCGTCACTGCTGGTGAGAAATTGGCGCCAGAGAGTCCTGCAAGTGCGTAGGTCAAGACGGTCCTGGCAGAAGAACACTTCTGGCAAGGTAACGAACCCATCTTCTATGCTCCATACTGACCTTTTAAACATGCCCTTCCGCGAAAAAATTTTCGTACCGCTCATCAATGTATCTGTGTTTTCCCTTACAAACATGCCAGATGGACAAAGAGGTTGCCAGGGACAGCCCGCCAAATACTGCAGCTCCAGACAGTACATTGAAACCTCACGAGTGTCAATCTGCATCCAAGATTTCAACTATATAGACTTACACCGGTGCAACAATGATCCCGCTGTTCACTCTACTTCAAACAGGTCTTTGGGTTCTCGTCTTCCAAGTGCTGGACCAACCGAAAAGAAGGGCAAAAATGCCCCAATGAATTCAGCAGCACATCTCAGTGCCAAAGGAGTGTCCACCTATCAAACCAACATGTTCACACCAATCTTTGGTTTGGTTAAACATGGCAGAGCGGCAATGGCCATCTCCTTCAGCCTCCAGGTAAAAAGTAAGAAGTGGACACAAACTGCATAAAACGCTCAACCAAATTTCGAATTGAAATCCGTTTCCCTTTTTGTTTTTAGACACTCGCCCTGCCAGCTTCAATGACGCAAGCAAGGCTTGCAAGCAGGTGCTCCCGGGGAGCTGTTGTCGAGCCGACACACATGCAGAAGTCATGGGTTTCAGCTGATTGCCGCATCCTCACTGCAACAATTTGTTTGAATCCGTATGTTCATCTCACCAACGTGTTTCAAGCCAGCATGTTCTTTGAATCATCCTAGTTCGTTGTTCAGTTTGTGACAAGTAGCCTCCGCAAACATATTAGTTTTTGTGTGCCTCATCTTCACACTCACCAAAGCTTAAGTATATATATATATATTATACCAGCGTAGACCCCAAACAGTTTGTGCGTTTATGAAGTTCACCACAGAGACAAACTGTCAAACTGTCAACGGCTCAAACCGTTCCAGCTCGCGGTGATCAACTCGGACCTTCTGGGCTTGTTTCAGCACTTGGCTCAATTGGCTCAAGGTCACAACCGACAATTCAGACGAAATAGAACGCAAATCTACTGAATATGCGAGTTGTACTGACATGTGGCTTTATCATGATTGTTTGGCTAAAAGATGTTAAAAGCTTTCAACCAAAGTGTGAGACAAGCAGGGACACAAGAAGGGAGACAAGTGAAGAAGCGAGGGAGACAAGCACGGGGACAAGTGGAGACAAGTGTAGCAAGAAGGGAGACGAGCAGGGAGACAAGTGGGACAGCGTAAAGCCACTTGGCCAAGAGTGTCTAAGCAGGGAGCAGGCGAAGAGGCAAGCGGAGACAAGTGCAAAAGCGTATCCAGAGCAGGCCGAGACAAGTGGAGACAAGTGAAGCAAGAAGGGAGACAAGCAGGGAGAGAAGTGTAAACTCATCCAACCGAGAGCATAGAAGCAAGAAGACAAGCAACCGGCCAAGTGTAATCCAAAGTAGGCCGAAAAAGTGGGAGACCAGTGGAGACAGGTGTAAAAACAAACATCCCCAGCCAAGTGTATCCAGAGTAGGCAGAGGAAACATCTCACGCGGCCCAGAGGACCCAGACGGAGACACGCGCAAAAGCATGCAGCCAGAGCACCCAGAGTGTATTGGAGACAAGGAGAGACAAGTGGGAGACAAGTGCAAAAGCATGCAGCCAGAGCACCCAGAGTGTATTGGAGACAGGGAGAGACAAGGGGGGAGGCAAGCGACAAGGGAGACAAGTGGGAGACAAGTGTACAATCACGCGGCCAGAGCAGCAGAGTGTACTGGAGACAGGAAGACGAGGGAGACAAGTGACAAGCGGGAGACAAGTGTAAAATCATGCGGCTTAGACTGAGAGACAGCTGCAACATCATTCGTGTGGCAGGAACACAAACCGGGAGACACATGCACAATCACGCGGCCGGCCCTTTCAAAGGAGTAAGAACCCCTCACAGCTAAACCTGTTTGGGAAATAAAATCATGCGGCCAGAGCACTCAGAGCATCCAGAGCTTACTGGG